GCGCACGCGGGCAGCGGACAGCCCAGACGCGCCGCGGCTGTCCCGCTGCCGGCGTCCTCAGAGGCTTTGCTTCCCGTCTCCCTGGTCTGCTGGTCTCCAGCAGACCAGGGAGACGGGCAGCAAACCCCGTTTGTAACTGCGGATCCGACTTAAGTCGGATCCGTGTAACTCGGGGACTGCCTGTACATGTCTTTATTTGAGCTGGAACTTAAAACAGTGAAGAGGATTGCTCAAGATGTAATTAAATATCCTAACAACTTTTCCCTGCAAACTTTGTTCTTACAGAGGCTGAAAACTGAGAAACTGAAAAGGGAGTGTATAACAGAGGGTTTTATGTTCTCATGCCTTATATTTTCTCAAACCAAAGTCTGTTATTTCATAATGTAAATTGTTACCTATAAACAGAGTTCCCTATAAGCTGTGCACTTGTGGGGACTCTCAGAAGAGATTCAGATGCCTCCCACCTGATTAGCAGAGAGTCCACAGATAGGTTTTTTGTTTCTACTGGTGATGTACATTCACACATGCGTTGATGCACATAAAAATTTATTCCATGCGAGAATGGAAAAAATCTACACATGAATGGAAAATATTAGAGGGAACATTGCTTTTTAAGTGAGTTTTTAATGAAGACAATAGAGGCTATTCAGTAGAGAATGCAATAGTTTTCAGTTATTTATGCTGAAAGCCTATGCAATAATTCCCGCTAAAACATCTTTGATTTTATTTTATTTCCCACTTAACTAATTTCTACTTTACCACAACTAATTAAGATGAAACATAATTTGGCTGCTAGATGGTCTCTGCCTCTCTTTATTGTTCTAATTCAGAATACTTCTCCGCTGTGCTTATTGCACACAGGAGACAGTGTTTTCTAATGGTTATATTGTACGTGTAATTTGTTGAATTTACACCAGTCCTAGAACAGAGATGGTTATACAATATGCATGGAAAATCTTGACCCAGCATTACTGCCCAGGTCCCAGATAGCAACTATACCTCAACAATTGATAATCAAAGACTAAAGCAAGGAACAAACTCTGCTGTTGATATTACAACTCCCTTCTTGAGGAGTACTGTCTTCACACAGAACCATAAGTCTTTTGTGATGCACAATGGCTAAAGCCCTCATTTGATGACCAGAAATGACTTAAAGGGGGGCAATAATAAAGAGAAGCTAAAGTATCATTCTTTCCCCTCTGAAAACTAACACAAATCTTCCCCTCCCTTGCTATCCATCAATTTCTCTACAGAAACCTGGCCACATCCCCAAATTATTCTATAGTTCATTCACTGTTCAGAAAATTACCAGAATTAGCATAAAGGGGCACTTGGGTGGAGAAACCAGAGAGAATGCTTTTGGGGAAGATATGCTTCAGTCAAACACAAATCATTAGGTTTAGTACAGGGGTAATGAGGTGAAATTCCATGGCCTGTGATATTCTGAAGTCAGATTAAATAATCTAATGGTCCCTTTGGAACTGAACATCTACGAATCAGTGAAATCTGTCAAAATGTTCACAAGTGATTAGTGTTTTTTCATGAACAAGTGATTTTGGATACCTAACATGAAACACCTCAAAAGACCTTGATTTTCAGAAAGTGCTGAACACCCCACTCTTATACATCTACACTGTGGCGCTATTTCGGGATGCCTTCAGTATCCTGAAATAGCTATTCCTTGTCTTTGAACAAGCCTGTTATTTCGAAATATCTTTCAGAATAATGGGCTCACTATAGCCTAATGTCCCAGTAAACCTCGTTCTACAAGGATTTAGGGACATTTCGGAATAGTGGTTTATTTTGGAATTTGGTTCTCTGTAGGCAGCGCCAAACTACAAAATAAGCTATTTCAGAATACACTCGAAATAAGCAATGCAGTTTGAAACTCTCTGAAATATTAGCCTCTGTAAGGTGCCTCCAGAAGTTGGGCATCCTAAATCTTTGGTTACTTGTGAAAATCTTGTCCAATATAGGCCAATTCTGGATAAGAGGGCCGAGAATTCGTAAATAGACTGCAATGAACACTCTGTCGCTCTGCTTGTTGATACTTCTCTTCCCATTTTTATTTGTCTTTTGTCTCTCCAAGTTTCATACTTTTTGGGGCAAGGATGTCATCTTTGCAAATAGTGTCTGGCATGCATTTGGCACTATATAAATAATAAAAAATAGTAATTCCCAGTCCTCTGTTCTCTCTCTTGCAGTGTGTGTCGTGAGCGAAAGTGGGACTGCACTGATAATGTATGTGATGCCACCTGCTCAGTTATCGGTACAGCTCACTACGTGACATTTGATGGACTGAAATATATGTTCCCAGGTGACTGTCAATATGTGTTGGTTCAGGTAAGAAATAAGGCTATTCGTTGTTAGAATTACATGTCAGGTTAAAAAAGAACTTTAAGTTTGTAACTTATTTCTTCGTCTAAACAAAGAAAAGAAAACAATCTAATATTTAGATGCATTGCTGTAAAGAACATCCCTCATTGCTAGGTCAGATCTATAACAGCAGGGCCAGCTCTAGATTTTTTGCTGCCCCAACAAAGTTTTTTTTGGCTCCCCCTCTTTTTTTTGTCCAGGGAGGGACTTGGGGACATGGGCACTGCGAACACCAGAGTTCCCCTTCCGTAGACAAAGGGAGAGGGAGAATCACCTGGGTCCCAGGCAGGGGTGAGGTTGTCAGGACACAGCACAAGGGGGCTGGGTTCCTGGGAAGGTGTGTGTGTGTGGGGGAGGGAGGATACAGGGCCCAGAGAGTAGGAGGAGGGGGGGTTGTTTAGAGGGAGGAGGGGGGAGAAGAGGAGACAGAGTCCCAGCAGGCAGGGGCAGATGAGAGTTTTGCGGGGCCCAGGGCAGCACAATTTCTCTGGGTTCCCCTTTGGAGAAAAAAATAGAAAAATGGCATCAAATGCACAAATTGAAGGCTATTTTCATATTAAATGTGAATTGGGTAAATTTGATAGAAACTTAATTTAGTTGGATAATTTTTATTCTAATTATATTGTAATTCATTTTTAAACAAAAGTCTGCACTAATAAAAAGGGGAGAGATGTCCAAATGTTGAGCAAAAAAAGTGCCCTCCCTCCAAAAAAATAATCATGGCACCTTTAAATCTCACACTCCTCATCCCCATTCATGGCAGGGCAAAGAACGTCCCAAGTGGCTTTCCAGCTGAGAAAAATTGAAAATACCAGACATTTTACTGGTCTGGTATTTTCTGGGATTTTTTTACCTGACAGAAGCCACAAATACTGGACTGTTAGGGCCAATACCAGACACCTGGCAACCCTAGTCGTAACTCGAGCCTGCATTTACGATAGGCCGAGGATGTAAGTCGGGGGATTTTGGCCCCTTCCCCACTTCGGAAAAAGGTCATAATGGTGGGGGGGAGGGAGGGTTGTAAAGCAGGCGGTTATAAAGCAGGCGGCCTCCTGTATTTGTGGCAGGGGGGGGAAACCTCTCTTGGTTAAGGGACACTGACCCTACAGAAAAATCAGCTGGGGACCACACAAGCGGGCTGGGGACCAGCAGGCCTGGAGCGGATCTGGCCAGTGGTTTGGACTGTGCCCCAGGGCAGGGGGTTGAGGTGTAGGATCTGGGAGGAGGGTTATGTGGGTGAAGATATTGGAGTGGGAGTGGCTCGGGGTCTGGATACTTACCTAGAAGCGCTGCTCACCTGTTTCTCCCACAGGAGCTGCCTGGCCATGTGCTCGGGGATTAAAAAGCCTGAGGGGAGTGGTGATTGGTGGGTTCCCACAGCTGGC